AAAAAAAAAAAAAAACCTCTCAAAAAAAAAAAAAAAAGATTAGGATGTTAGTCCACATTTATATCATATTTGCATTCTATCTTTCTATTTTCTATATATGTTTCAATGAGGAATATTCCTGTTTTACAATTGCCTATAGTATTGAATATATGCTGTTCATATTTGTGGTCTCAGAACTATAGGCTATATCATTTAGGCATCTAGGTTTGTGTAATTACACTATCATGTTCACACAACAACAAAATCACTGAACAGCGCATATCTCAGGATGCATCCTGGTTGTTAGGTGGGGCGTGGCTGTGCATGATTGTTTCAGTATACTTATAGATTTATATTTTTCTTTTATTCTCACACTGCAAAAATTTTTTCTCCATTGTATAGAGTCTTACAGATAAAAACAGAGAGGAAGAAGTTAAAACAAAGTAAATCATAACTTTACTTCCTGAAGCTATCTAATACTAACATTTTGAAGTATTTCCTTCTGATCTTTTTTCTTCCTATAGATAGTAAGCTAAATCTATAAAAAGATAGACACAGATATATGCTTTTTAAAATCTGTACGATATTAGGACCAGCAGTTAGCATAATGGCTATGTCGCTGAACTCCCACGTAGTCGACCGCAGTTCTAGTCCCAGTCCTGGTGGCTTAAACTCGTGCCGGACGCTTGTGCGTGCGTACCCAAGATCCCGAGAGGAGAATGGAGGAGAGGGGATTGCGGCATGGCTATCCCCCCTGGGGGGGTGATTTCTCACTTTCTGTCTCTCTGTCTCTGTCTGTCTGGTGAGCGCATGCACCCTATAGCAAAAACCTCTCCAAAAAAAATTTGTATGATATTAAAGTACAAATTTGATTTATGTTTTATCTTAATATTATATACATAGTATTAGTTTAAATGCCTATGGGCTAATAATATACAATACATAATCTTCATGTGTCTCCATTGAAACTTTGCCATAAAGGAAGAAAGTTTCATTTTTTAGAGAAAGGCTTATTGTTTTCTACTTGTTGCTAATTTCCATTCTTTATTTAAAATATGTGCAAAGGAAGTATCAACAGTATTTACACAGGCAACAATCAGGGGATAAAATATTTATCTGTAATGCCAGTCAAAATGTAGCAATGAACTCTTTCATTTAGGTTCTAAGCCATCAAGTCTACTCTGAGGTCTTTGAAGTATCCACTTAGGCTGAAGCCATTCAGAGAAACTCAGCAAAATAAGTGGTTTGAAGCAAACTAAAATATATAAACCCCAAATCTTTCCCAGCTTTGTATAATCATAACATTCATTTACTTTTTACTAAATTTGCCTTCATAGAGGTTTGGTTAACCAAACCTGTCTCCATCATTTTTCCCCTTTTTAATCTTCTCTGTGTTTTCTGAGGCTGGAGCTAAATTTTACCAAATTTTTGAGTATCTGATAAGCCTCAAATGACTATTGAGAATTACTATGAAGGGTTTAATAATAATGTCACTCTTTACTGTGTTTAAAAGATTTAGATATTTGTTTATAAGTTAAAGTAGCAGGGTAGATGAATTAAGTTTGTCTTTATATTAAGTAATCTTTTTTTATTTTTTAAAGTTTTCCAGAAGGCATGTGCACTTCCTGGAGAGAGACAGAGAGAGAAGGAAAGTGAGAAAGCACCCCTGATCAGGCCTGATCATGCTGCAATCACTTATCCTCCACTTCTGCCTCCTTTTGAGATTTTGGGTATGCATGCACCTGCCCCTGGCATGTTTCTCAGGCCACTAGGTATGAGATAGAGTCTGCACAGTCAGCCACCTTCACCACCATGTCATGGGCTGGCCCGATCATCTTTTACTATGAAGTAAATTTTTCATGTACTATTGTATGATTTCTGACCTCAGTTTAGGGAAGAAAGTCATTGAAAATCCCTCCAAAGTGTCACTCATCATATGAAGACATATATGGTTAATGTGTCTTCACCCCCAATATTTTGATAACGACATGATTTATTTTTACCTATTGAAAAGAAATATTATTTGAACACCTACTATCTCTTCGATGCTAGTGGTACAATAGTGCTTGTCTACCTGGAGCTTATCTTTCAGAAAAATTGAGCAATACACAAATTATAAGAAAATCTTAGGTAATACTATCAAATCATGGATAAAAGTGGTCTTCAAAAACTATTCATGGGTTTCAAAATTTTTTTCAAAAATTTTTGCATCAAAATAATCTTATTCTTTAATTCCAGTTTTCCTCTTATACTTTAATTCCACTTTCCACAAACTTTTTGAAGTACCCTTGTATTATTTTATAAGACATAGGTAGAGTCTCTTTTTCAATTTGTTGACAAATAAACCTAACCTCTAAGTAGCACAGTCAATAGGATTTTGTGCCATGTTTTGATGTTCTATTGTACTCTGTCTGAGCATTGCTGTCTAAAAACAAGATTTTGAAACTGTTTGCAGAATCATTTATATATAAACTACTCAATGTTATCTTATTAATGTTAAGTTCAGTGTGATGTATTTGATATAGTTTGAAATATATTTTATACATCCATCTAAACACCATATTACAATAGAATGCATATGATAAATATAATGGATTAATTTTTTTGAACAATGGAATCAAGTTAACTTTCAACTGCAAAATATATTAACCAGCCAACTGAGTCTTTTATTTCTCCTTTCTTTTTTACTTTCTGCTGTAGGATATGTGTTTTTGCTAGACACAGAGAGAGGAAGAGAGAGAGAAGTGAGAAGTCACCTCCTGAGTGTGATGGTCATGTCACAATCCCTTCTCCTCCATTCTTTTTCTCAGGATATTGGGTGTGTACACATATGTGCGTAGTGTGATTTTTCTAAGCTTCTGGGTCCAGCACTTGAACTGCAAAGTTGGCCATGTGAGATCCAGTGCCTTAATCTCAATGCCAACAGCTGGCCCTGTTTACCCTTTTCGTTAAAAAAGATTATGGTTTGAATTTTTTTCCTGCTTGAATTCAATGTTTTATATTTTTAATGTGTCTTCAAACACTTTTATTTTCCTTCCAGGAATTTGCAGCACTGACAAAAGAATTAAATGCCTGCAGGGAACAACTTCTAGAAAAGGAAGAAGAAATTTCAGAACTTAAAGCTGAAAGAAACAACACCAGAGTAAGTAGAAACCTGCCTCTAGGAATTCATTTCGTATGTAGTTCAGTGCCTTAAATCGTGTGTGTGTGTTTAAAACATATATATATGTGTATGTGTGTGTGTGTGTGTGTATGTGTGTTTAAAACATATATATATATGTATGTGTGTGTGTGTGTGTGTGTGTGTGTGTATGTATTTTAAGCTTATGGATTTTTAAAGCAGATACCAACTCATAGTCATTACTTAAAGTAGGATATACTACAAAACTCAAAACAAAAAGGACAGGAAACATAAATTACAGGCTTGCCTTCTAAATCACTATGTAACTTTAGAAAATGGTCTTGTTTCTTCTGATCTTTATTCTTACTGACTTTAAAAGAAGGGCTAGGTTTCAATAATGGTTTTCAAACTTTTAAAAGGTTGAATTGGGGTAAAACATACCTCAAAGATGGAAACAGGCAAAAGGGGAGAGGTTTGGGAGAAGAATAAGAGTTTAAATTAAGAAGTACTATGAAGGAATGGTCTAGATTGGGTCCTCAATTCAGCCCAGCAGATCTATTTAAAAGAAAAAAAAAAGTGTCAAAAATAGAAAGCGACTGAAGAAGATTACTACCAGAGACATACCTTTTATATTTTAGAAGATCTCTAAGGATGCTTCCAGTTCTCATATTCTGATTTCATGAAACACATGGAATTTACTATATTCTACTCTTGGGAGCACATGTATTAATATTTCCAATTGTACATCACGTTGTGTAGCATTAAGTTTCAGAATTTGACCAAAGGTGCTATACATTTTAGTTTAAAAGAAAACACTAAATTTCATACAACACCCTATTATATTAATACATGAGTATAATTTCTCTACTAAAAGAAACGGGAGAGGTTAAGTAGGTGAAAAATATTTTGGGAACCAGCAGTTAGCGTAATGGCTATGTCGCTGGACTCCCACGTAGTCGACCACGGTTCGCGTCCCGGACCCGGTGGCTTAAAACTCATGCCGGGTGCGTGTGCGTGCGTGCCCAAGATCCCGAAAGGAGAATGGAGGAGAAGGGATTGCGGTGTGACCATCCCCCCTGGGGGGTGATTTCTCGCTTTCTGTCTCTATGTCTCTCTCTGTCTGTCTGGCGAGCGCACGCGCCCTACAGCGAAAATCTCTCAAAAAAAAAAGAAAATTTTAAGTGCTATAACTTTCATGAGATCATGCTGTTAAATAAGGGCTAGAGACACAGCTCCATTGTGTCTCTAATGACAGATACTATGGCATGCTTAACAGTGATATGATCAAACTCAGTCGATGACTGTATTCATCAGGGTCTTATTTTACAGTGAAGAGAATTCACGTAGCGTGCATAGAATGAATTGGTTTTCAATTGATGAGACGATGAGCCAGTGACTCAGATTGCCTCCACAGGGCATAATGAGGGCAATTTACAACAGACCATGGTATCAGGTATCAGTTGAGGTTTTGCTCTATTTCTGTCTTTTGTTTTTCCCACCCTTCAGTTTTAACTTAATACTACACACTATGTTTCCATGCAAAATTAAAGTTTATTTCTGCCATGAGATTTATTTTTACCATAATCTGATATCCTTTTTAAGAAGACTTACAGGAACATTTATTTACTTATCTATCTATTTATTGTGATTTTCAGGCTGCTGCGTCTAGGACTCAACCTGTGGTCATTCATGTGGCAATCTAGCACATTAACCAGCATGCCACCTGCTAGTCCCCTATTCCAGTATTCTATATTTTAGTACCGTAGACTGCATTCCTGGATATAAAGCAATACAATCTAACGTGTATGTAGGAGCAGGAAGATGAGAATGAGGGAAATGCAAACCTATGGGTAGCTAATTAATCCTCTTGTTTAAAAATGCACTAGACACTGTTTTATTAGCTGTGTATATATTTCTCCTTTACATAATCTTTCTTCTTAAAGCCATTTACTCTTTTTGAGAGTCATGTAAAAGAGATGTTATAATATCCCCATTTTACAGACAAGGCAAGCGAGCTCAGAAAAGGTAAATAACTTGCCAGAAGTCACATTATTAGAAAATTTATTGTTTAGCTATCAGAAAAATTAGTGTAAAGGTAAAATAAGGCAACCTAAATCTAGAGCCTAGGTCCCTAACTATGAGATCATTGACAGAATTACTAAACTTATATCAATGAAAAAATTTAAACATTTACTAGAGCTTAGAGGGAACATCACTTAAGAGACAGTCTTCAGCAGTATTGAATCATTTCTTTTTCATTGCGACTCATTTCAGAGAACTAGGAGATTTGATGACAGTATCTACATATGCATTGTACTAAAATTCTATGAAGACATTCTAAGTCCTCTCTTTTAGCTGATCTGATATACAACAAATTATTAATTATAGTTACCCTAGTGTACTAGATAACACTAAAATGTGTTCCTCTTACCTGTCTGTAGTTTTGTATTAATCAGCAATAACAATGTTTGAGGTGACGGATATGCTAATTACCCCGACTTGATCACTACAAATTACATTTCTGTACTGAAAAATCACACTGAACTCTAATAATATGTACAATTATTATATTCAGTTTTACACACACACACACACACACACACTTATATAATTTGTTAATACAAGGAAAAAAAACAACAAAAACTACAAAACTTCATGAGGTTCAGAAGTACCTGTGACCGTCAAACCTACAAAGGAGCTTTGGGTAATAAATGAAGTAATGTGAGCTACTCTTGAAACACCTATTCAGGAGTCAAACTGAGGGGAAACAAGTTTTTGGGGGGTAACAAAGATTGAAACCATTGATTTTTAACATGGAATAACAGTTACTTTGCAAATATAATAAAACTGAAAAATGTTTTCATACCTTTCTGAAAGCAGTGATACAGAAGATTTTTGTTGTTGATTATGTAAAAAAAAAAAAATCTCCCCTGTACAAAGTATTGATTATATAATAACATATTAGGTAATATAATTATATCTTATTTTCTTCCACATTCCACCCCAACCCAAGAAAATATCCAGGACTGAAAATCAGAAATGTTTTCTCTTTTCCTCCCAAATGCATAGCCAAATGTTTTTAAATATACCTTTTAAAAAATAGATTTATGTTGTCATTTTTCTTTTTACATGTTGTGCTTTTATTCTAGTGTTTGCACCCTACTTATTCATGGAAAGAAAGCAACAAGCTAAAATTCCCTTCTCACACTAACAGAAATGCGATTGGTATTTGGTTGGGAGCAAGTCTAAAGTAGAATTGAATGTTCCAGATTCCTGGATTCCAGTAAACTTGGGGCTCCCTCTACATTGAATAGTTAGCATAGGTTCATAGATTGAGATAAACAACACAGAAAGACAATTCACAAAGAGAACTCATGAGTGGATAGGGTCATTTGTGTTAATTTGAGCACTATAAAAACAACAGCTCAGCAGGACCAGCAGATGGGGTAATGGTTATGTCACTGGACTCGCATGTAGTCATCCGTGGTTAGAGTCTCAGACCTGGCAGCTTAATACTCATACCAGGTGTGTGTTCCCAAAATCCCAAGAGAATAGAGGAGAGGGGATTGCTGCTTGGCTATCCCACCAGGGGTTGATTTTTCACTTTCTGTCTCTCTATTTCTTTGGCAAGTATATGTGCCCTATCAGCAAAAAAATCTCTAAAAAAAAAAGAAAAAGAAATATCAGAATGAACCCTCCTATATAATGATATTTGAATGAATTAAAACTTTTCCCAACGTAGTAAATAGAAGTTTCAGTGGAAGTTAAATGAAGTTTGTCTAAGATATGGAGTAATAATGATAATATAATGGCTAACATTAATTAAGCAATGAAAGTTTCTAAATGGTTTTCATGTTTTGTTCTCTTTACCTGCAAGGCAATCTTATTATTTTTTAATTTATGGTGCAACTAAGGTAATAAATAACTTTCACAGGCAACATGATTCAGGACAAACACAGGGAATCCATGTATCTAAAAAAGTCATATTCTGAGTCAGTAAATGGTATGGTAGTTAAAATGCTGGATCCCAAATGACTGCCTCCAGAGTTCAAGTCCTGGACTTCAGCAGCTTGAAAAAACATACTAGGTGTGGAGCCTCCAGGTGGTGTGGTGGTTAAGGGCACTGGACTCCCACATGGCTGACCGCAATTTGAGTACTGGACTTGGAAGCTTGCTTTCTCACTTTCCCTCTCTCTCTCTCTTGCTTTTGCTTTGTCCCTCTCTGGTCAAATTAAAATAAATAAATACATGAAGTTAAATAAAGTACTTTTAGGGACCAGCAGTTAGCATAATGACTAGGTCACTGGACTCCCATGTAGTCGACCATGGTTCAAGTCCCAGACCTGGTGGCTTAAACTCACGCCGGGTGCATGTGCGTGCATGCTCAAGATCCTGAGAGGTGAATGGAGGAGAAGGGATTGAGCGTGGCCATCCCCCTGGGGGCTGATTTCTCGCTTGCTGTCTCTCTATCTCTCTCTGTCTTTCTGGAGAGCGCACACACCCTATAGCAAAAAAACTCAAAAAAAAAAAAAAAAGAATTATGGGTAAAATCTTTCATTCTTCCTAAAATGGGACAATTTAGCAGAACCTCTAAAACCTCCTTATCAAAATCATATAAAAAAACACATAAAAAACATTCAGTTCCATACCAAGAAATAGTCCCAGCTCTTTCAACTGTTCAGAAACCAGAAAGCACATCAAATCTTGTTGTTTGAGATTTTTAAATATTAATTAATAGAGTTCAATCTCCAGCCCACCCACTCTCTTTCCCAGAGGTCAGTGGGCATGAATGTTTAAACCATCCAAGCACTTCCTCTTTTGAGGGCCAGCACCATTCTAAGGCCATCTAGGAGACCCACTCTAAGTCACCATATAACCATATAACCATAAATTTAGGTGTGATCAAAAATTCTATAGTTTTAGAAACTCTGACAGAAACCAAGAGCAAAGGCCAAATACAGTACCACAGAGCCCTTAAACATTAAAAAGTCTTTAAAAATGAAAAGCTCTTAAAAATTATT